AGGTGGTTTAAGTTGTTCTTAGAGGGGGTGGGGTGGATGGGCATGGGATGGGCGTGGGCGAGGATGACTGGGTTGTTTCTCACGTTGTGTGTATGGGTTTGTGTAGGAGGTCTGGCTTGTACTTAGAGGGAGCAGGGAATATTGCACTTGGGGTTATTCTTTGTGGTCATTGGTAATTGCTAATCTTGTGGTATCTTGGCTTGAATCTTGGGAATGGAATGGAATAGGAGACGAACTGGGCTTGCTTCAGTATCGAGAACAAAAATAAACAGGCAAAAACATCATAAATGGTATCATCAATCATCAAACTCATCAATCGTAACCGTGAGACAAAAAAACATAAGCCGATCATAAGCAGATCATAAGCATAAGCATGCGTAACATCAAATCAGCCTGTATATCCAATCCTCTAAGCAAAAAGGCATCTGTCGTCGATCATAATCAACGGTACTGCAGCCCTGACTATGGCCTCGGGCTCGTGCTGGAATCGACCAGCACCGCATCCCCGATGCTCTGCTTCAGCTTCTCGCGCTTGGCCTCGCGTCGACGTTCGCCGTGCTGCTGCCACACCCGGCGCATGCGTTTGCGGAGGTTGCGCACCTTGCCGGCCCGCAGCCGCAACCGCCACCACGACAGGGACTGGAACCGGTGGTGATGAAGCGAAGTCTGGGAGTACAGGGCCTCTGGCGTAAACACTTGGCTGCTGCCGACCAGGGTGCCGCGGTTGGCCGCATGGTGGTGGCCGCCCAGCCGTCGGCGGGTCTCCGGGTTGCGCGCGATGGGCGGCCCCTCCAGCACCGTCCGCTGCTGCGGCATCCCCAGCGAGTTCTTGATCACCGTGTCGGGCTCGTGGTGGCGGTCTTCGACGGGGCTCCCGTTGGGGGAGGACGTGTCGGTCTCCGAGTCGTCCCAGAAGCGACGCGGTCGCCAGAAGGGCTGCAGGCGCCCGTCGATCTCGGGGTTGTCCGCCTTGCGGTTCTTCACGGACGTCAGTGAGAAAGACCCGAGAGCAGAACTGTATGAATCAGACCGAGGACGTACCATCCACGGACGCCGGATGGACCCGAACCGACGGGCCGGACGTCCATTCGCATCGGCTTCACTCACGGCGGCTCCCAGTTGGCGACTGGCGTCTTGCACGGGCGACGGAGGCGAGACGTGGCAGACCGGTGGCTTGGGCGGTTGGCGGGGATTCTTCAATGGTGACTCCACCTCGAACTGCGTCAACGGGACCGGCGTTTGGGGTTTGTTCTGGGATGCTATATCAGGAATCTGTTCACGCGCGGTAGGTTGTGATTGTGGCTCTACCAGCAATAATGACTCGTTGTTATGCGGGAAAATGGCGATGGTCCTCGCTTCCCTGATTTCAATCACTCCGGGAGATGAGGACGGGATGGAGACTTGGGTATAGGGCATGGACGGCGGCCGGAGGTGCGACATGTCTTCGACGCCGATGATGATGGATTGCGTTTTCGCGGCTTCTGGAACATCGTGCGCAGCCCGGCCGTGGGACGATCCCTCGGGTTGGGGCAGAGGAAGTGGCGCTGGCTTCTTTCGCGTCTCTTGCTCCATTGCCATCGTGTGATTTCGTAGGCTCTCAGAGGTAAGAGATGTGGTCCGTGAATCGTTGCGGCTGGTCGGTGCAGACAACGACGAATTACGCTGTGGGATGACCGGCCGACCATCGCTACGGCCTCGAGATTGCGCCCGCTTATCCGCGTTGGTGCTCGCATCGGACAGCGTCCGCTCCTTGCGGCGCGAGGGTTCCAGCGAGCCTGGGCGGCTGCCCGAGGCGACCGGAGCTCGTCGACTCGAGCATCGTGAGCGACTTTGGGAGGTATTCCGGCTGGTCGAAGTCGAGGACTTAAGGGACGACCGCCGCTCAGGGATCACCACCACCGGTACTATTTCCACATTCGGCGGGAGAAAGCTCATTGCCGAAATCCCTGAAATAGACATCTCCGACGCAACACTCCGACGATCATGTTCTGTGATGCGCGCGCTCTTATGAACCAGGCGATGCTGCGAATCTGGGTTAGAAACCAGTGAGGTGTGTTCCGATTTCGTCAAGGGAGAGCTGACTGAGCGGAGGGAGCTCCGCTTCTCAGTGTGACGAAGTGAACGTTGAGTTGATCGCGGCGAGTCAATAATCATAACCTCAACGGTGGACGTCGTGGACACATTGGAGAATCTTCGCGAGGCGTCAGGCTCGGCTGTAGTAGGCTCCGTCTGGGGCCAGCCGATTTGCTCGCGGAACTGCTCGATTGACAATCCACCTACAGGCTCGTGCGAGTCAGCCCCCTGCCTTCGTACGCTTTTCGCGCGGACGGGAAGCACGTCCGTGCTGTCTGCATCCGACCCAACCATGTAAATTGGGTGTTCCGCCGTCTCTGAGTTACGGTCGATACGGCTAGATACAGATCCCTGATGACGGGGAGCAGGTGTTAGGGGATCTAGTGTCGCATCTTGCCGACTCTCTGCCATAGACATCGCTGGTGTCGCGGAACGCATCCGATCAGAAGTATGGGTTGGTACCGGCGTTGTTTCTCCGCTTCGCGTGTTGCTGCGATCGGACGAATCGCTCTGTCTGGTTAGAAACAAGGAGGACCGGGCTGACCGAGACGGGGTTTCAGTTCCAGCATCTGAGATGATTTCCAGCGCAGTGCGAAAGGAATCCGCCCGAGACGAGGAGAAAGACTGGGCGAGTTGCTTGAGGGCCGGACGCTGAGCCTCAGCAGCGACTTGAGGAGGGGTGGTTTCGGGCGTGGGAGGATGCGATGGCCTCGGGGTTACCGCATCGCTCACCGAGAGTAAAGAAGGTGTTGTTGCGATATGCGCCCCGTGGATGTTCGAGTCTTCAGTTGAGGCGACCGCGGGAGGCGTTAAGGGACGAACGGGAGCTGGTGGCAGAGAGGCTGTCCCTGACGGGAGGCCATTGTGGCCCACCGGTTTTATTGTTTGGGCGACGGATGGAGAGTTCAAGGGAACATTTGGCCGGCGACGTAGAGACTTGTGGGCCCTCAACTGGGGCGGATCCAAGTGTTCTGGTGAGGCGACAGAGGTGCCAGCATTCGCCAGGCTGGGCATTGTGAGGAGGCCCAACGGTCCGGCAGATTGGTCCAAGTGACAAGCGGGCAATGGTCAGGTTTGAATGGGGTTTTGTTCTGGTGGTTTCTTTTTTTGTTTCTATCTTCTTTTAAAGGAAAAAAGGGTTTCAAATCAACTTGTTGCAGGTCGCATATCGTATTAATGGTGAGGGGGAGGGAGGTGATGCTGTGTCTCGGTTGGGTCTGGTGGAGGACAACTACAGTCTTGTAAATGGAAGAGAACAAGAGAGAGCCGAAGAGAGTCCACGGTACGGTGAAGAACTTCGGTCCCTTTGTTCTCCTCTCCCACCCCGATGAATGCTAACCAGCAAGGGAGATCTGGTGCAGCGTAAGGGTGAGTGTGTGGTGAATGTGTAGTGTAGTGTAGTGTGTGTGTGTGTGTGTGTGTGTGTGTGTGTGTGACAGTCTTCCAATGCGCGTCTTACAAAGTCCAACACCCGCTCTAGGCCAGCCCACACACACACAACCAGGTAAATTGAGTCCCAGCTGGCTCTACAAATAGAGTATGTAGATAAGAACGGACAGCAGGCAAGGCACGACCCGCCCAAAGCGATCTTTTTGGCACGAAAAGACCCGAGGAAAGCGAGTGAGAAGGAGGCAAAATGAGCGAGTTGCAGGGACATTCCACGTTGCGGATCCGACGCGCGGGCAGGCGGAGAATGACAGTCACACCCAGATGATCTACATGACTGAACTTGAGGGATACATCTGTATAGCTAGTGGCTCGGGGAGAGGGGGAGGAGTGACAGGGGAGAGTAAATAGAAGGTATTATAAAAGGGCAGACACACACAAGTGCCAGTTGGGAAGAGGATCGTGGAAGAGTAAGAGGAAGAAAAGGAAGAAAGAGGAGAAGTTGGGGGATTTCGTCCACCAACCAAGCCTGCAGCATCACGGGAAATTTCCTGCACCACCAACTCGCCCTACCTCCTACGAGTACTTCTAGGCATATACTGAGTACTAATTGTAAAACAGTTGGCTGTCAAAATTGTTCTCACCCTGCCCACGATTGGTATTTATTATTGTTTACCGAGCATACTCATACTTTTCCCACGGACCAGGCGCTGTTTCTGCCATTGCATCATCGATGACATCCTCTCACGGCCATCGCTCGGGAGTGGCGCTGCACAACCCATGGTCAATCCTCACCAACCTCGCTTCAACCGAAGGGAAGCTTAAAATGGTCGCTGATATTGATGGCCGGGATTTGACCCACGGACTCTCGATAGAGAGCAGATAGATACAAGGAGGGAAAGACGGGGGAACTCTTAAGTACTCGGATGAGTCTCCTATCTCCAGCCGCCATGCGTTATCACCACCATGACATCCATCGAGTACCATCTCTTGTTTCAGGGATCTCTCTCGGGTGTGAATGGTGGATCAGATCAAGATCTAGACAACGACTGGGGCTCTGGGTTCCCGGATATACTGTGTAGTGAGGAACACTCGTAGTGCAACCTAGGATTGCGGAGATGCGAAGCTATGACATCTTATTTCTGTTGGGACCAAATAATCAAATGAGATGAACCGTCGCGACGATCGGGAGGAAACATGACGAGAGATGACGCTGGGTTCCGTCACTCGGCCGTTAGTGGAGGAGGGAGAGGGAGATTGAATGAATGAGGAGGAAGACGAAAGATCCGAGGAAAGACGAAGCGAGCGACAGGACATTTCGGACTGAACAAACCAGCCTTAGGAATCCGCCCTGGGCGGCTGACTCAGCCACAACGCTGTCCTCGACGTCATCTGGTTTGTGGTTTTCGGTCAGGCGGTAATTTTGGTCGGGAAGTTGGGGGTCAATGGGGGAATGGGGAAAATGGGTATGGATGGATGTGTATCACCAAGGTATGACCACGGTATTGATGGTTGCTGATGATGACGCTGTCCGCTGTTTCCCTCCTATCTCTCTCTCTGTCTCGGTCACTGTCAGTTTATGCTGCTGCTGCTGTTGCTCCTCCATTGATGATGTACGTATTGGCTTGTTCTTTTTTTTTCTGCTTCAGCTCATCAGCTGCTACCTTCTTTGCCTCACCAAGAAAAAGAATCCATGGCGTTGTGCTTACGGAGCACTGGATCGAATTAGACTTTATATCCTCATCTTTATCGGCATTGTCTCTTTTCCCTCATCATCATCATCATCTTCTTCTTCTTCTTCTTCTGCTTTCTCTTCCTGCTACTCCGTATTCTGTCTCTTTCTCTTTGACATTATTGAAACTGTATCGGCCCATTCCCCACTATCTCCCTTCGTCCTTCTCCTCTCTCAGGCTGCAAGACGTTTAGAATTCCGCTTTCAGGTACTGAAACTGCTTTGGACGCTCTTCTTCTGTCGCCTTCTGTGCCTTCCATCAGCCCAGCCTTAAATTAAAATTATCTCATACCTCTTTTGGTCTCTTCCCCTACTATTATCACTAGCCCCTCCCTCCCCATCATCATCACCACCACCACCACCACCACCACCACCACCGTCATCTGCGCACACCGTTTTCTTCTTCTGCACAGCGCATTTAATCACCTGGTAAATCTCCCCCTCCCCACTCGCATTTCTTCCCCTTCAATCTCTGTTTTTCTTTTCCTTTTTTCAATCCCATCTCCAACCGACTTGGACCTGTCATCCCCTTCTTGTTATCCTCTGTGTGCATCTCATGTCTTCTTGACTCCGACCCATTTCCCTATCGTCATCATTATCACCACCACTGCCACCACCACTTTCTAATCTGTCCCTCTTCTCCCTTTTTCAACACACAACTAACATACAATATTCAGACCTTGGTTGAACACAAACACAACAGGTCATAATCAGAGGACAAATTGTTTATGACAGGGAAACCCTAGACAGAAAAGTTTCCGGACGACAGCCGCACCATTCCTGGTTGACAGTCTCTTTTCAAATCCTATTTCATCATCACCTTTTGTTTCCGGCCACTGCTGCTCTGCTGCCGCTACTGCTGCTGCTACCTTACCTTACCCCGAACCTTTCTTTCTCCCCACCCCCCCTTCCCTCTCTGTTCCCATTTTCATCTCATTTTATTTTCCACATCTCCCCCTTACTCAGCACTATGAGTACCATACAGAATCTCAAAAATTTCATACGTCATGGCAAGCAAGCTCGCCTGGTGACGCCGCATGCCGAGCCCACCACCAATGTTTCGCCCATCCATGCCGAACAACAACGTCAACCACAGGGCTCCTATCCCGCCGCTGCCGGCAACCTCGACGCCATTGACAGCAAACTCGGCAACGGAAACGCTCAGCCTTCTCAGCGGAACTCCGACTCATCACAGTCTAGGCGGGCTCGCGAACTCGAGATCGAGCAGATCATCGCCGAAGAGAAGAGTAGTCGGAACAAGATGCCTAGATACCCGGGTCTCGAGCGCTGGATCTTGATGGAGAAGATGGGGGATGGCGCCTTTAGCAACGTCTATCGCGCCAAGGACACTACCGGCGAGTTCGGGGAAGTCGCCATCAAGGTGGTGCGCAAGTTTGAAATGAACAGCAACCAGGTAGGACCGCAAGCTATCTCCTTTACTCTTGTGCTAGTCGCTTCCTGCTTTGATTCCTCGATTTCTTTCTCTTGGTTTTGTGTTGTGTGCTCTGTCGTTTTTAAATCATTTGGCCAATGTCTTTCTACTAGACTGCCGCCCATCTGCATCCGGGAATCAGAAAGAAACCCAAAGCTACGGAGGTGCGCAAACACTAGATTACATCATCCATGCACCGGGCATCCCTGCCTATCGCTCACCCCTGCTCTGCAACGTTCCGCTTCGCGTCGTTGGCTATAGCTGGCACCCATTGTGTGACTGGCACAGAGTGACTGACCTTGCTATAGCGTGCCAACATCCTGAAAGAAGTGCAGATCATGCGCAATCTCGATCACCCCAACATCGTCAAGCTGATCAGTTTCTCCGAGTCGCGTCAATACTACTACATCATCCTCGAACTCTGCCCCGGTGGCGAGTTGTTCCACCAAATCGTGAGGTTGACCTACTTCAGTGAGGAGCTCAGTCGCCATGTTATTGTGCAGGTCGCCAAGGCAATCGAGTATCTCCACGAGACTTCCGGAGTTGTGCATCGGTACGAGATTGAGAAATCTGTGTTGTATGATCGCAAGAGACTAACTGAAGTTTTAGCGATATTAAACCCGAAAATCTTCTCTTCTACCCCACCGAATTCATCCCGAGTAAGCACCCCAAACCTCGCCAGCCCGGTGACGAAGACAAGGTCGACGAGGGCGAGTTTATTCCTGGTAAAGGTGCTGGTGGTATTGGCTTGATTAAGATTGCCGACTTTGGGTTGTCTAAGGTTATCTGGGATAGCCAAACCATGACGCCGTGTGGAACGGTCGGATACACCGCCCCCGAGATCGTTAAAGATGAGCGGTACTCCAAGAGTGTCGATATGTGGGCCCTGGGTTGCGTTCTCTACACTCTCCTCTGTGGTTTCCCGCCGTTCTACGACGAGAGCATCCAAATCCTGACTGAAAAGGTCGCTCGTGGTCAATACACCTTCCTATCGCCCTGGTGGGACGATATTTCCAAGTCCGCCCAGGATCTGATCTCTCATCTTCTGACGGTGGACCCGGAGAAGCGCTATACCATCAAGCAGTTCCTCGCCCATCCCTGGATCCGTGGCACCGATGAGGCTACCGAAGCTGCTGCGGACGCTCCTCCACTTGCCACGCCTCTTACTACCCGTAAGCAGGGACAGCCCTTGGATGCATTTGCGGCCGACCAAGCGCCATTCGCTCCGATCAGTGCCCGCCTGGGCGATCAACCATCGGCTGGTATGGAACGCCCTATGGACTTCCGTTCTCCCGGGGCGATCAACTTGCGCGAGGTGTTCGATGTTGGTTATGCCGTGCACAGACAAGAAGAGGAGGGCAAACGTCGCAAGAACTTCCGTCAAGGTTACCGTGGGGCCAATCCCTCGACAAACTTCCGGTCGGCGCTGAACCCTCTGAACGAAGACTACGATGAGCCGGATGAAGTCAACTATCAACCCGTCCAGCGCGAAGATTTTGCCCCTTCCAAGATCCCCAAGTCTTCACAGCAGGCCGGTGATGTTGCTGCCATGGAGGCGAAGCTGCGATCTACGAACTTGAGTGGTGCGCCCAGCCATGCCGCTCAAGCACGACAAGCCCATCAACCCCGACAGCAACAAGGATACGGGCAACACAGTGCCAAGGTGGCCGCCGCTGCAAGACAGAGCATTGCCCGAGGCGCGCGGGAGCCCTTCGAGCTGAACCTTGATAATGCTACTCTTCTAGAGAAGCGCGGTCGACGCCAGCAGGGCCAGCCTGTTGCTTAATTTTCTTTCCAATGGTCCCAGGTCACGTCCTTAACGAATCGAGACAGCCTTCGGGCTACGAATTCCTATTTTTATGAGTTCAGTGCATACGGTGACAATGTTTCTCCTCTGGCTTGGTGAATGGGATTGATTTCCTCTGGGTGGTTCATAATCCATCGGTCGCATTTCTCAGGGTGTTCTTTTTTATTTTTCTCTTCTTCTACTCCTATTTCTTTTTCCATTTATGATAAAACTTCTTGTGCGTGTTCTACCTCTTTGCGTTGATATCTTCTAGTACTCCTTTCCATTTCCATTCCAACCTACGGTACCTTTCTTCACTTCTCTCCTCCACACTTTACACACATCATTTCTTCTTTTCTGCCTTCTTCGTTGGAACCGCCAATCGGATTCACACTACGGATGGACTTATGCGCCCTTCTCTTCTTCCACTGTCCAATCAGTCGGTTGCACCGCTCCTCTCTTCGCATGGTCGAATCATATACATCTCCCGCCCCCTTCTTCACTTCAACTTTTCCCCACCTGGATCTTGTCATGTCATATCTCGATGCAATCTGTCCATGAACATATACCTGCGAAGAAACAATGTTTTCTTTACTTCGTGGCTTACACCGTGTCTTTTCCTCCCTTCTTTTCCTGCCTTCCAACCTCGCCCCCTTCTTCTTTTTGCTGTCTTCGACCTTTTCTTCCTGTTCTTTGACCAATCTTGTGCGTAGAAGGTGCGTTCTGGTACGTAGATTACTAGTACCGAGTTGGCCGTCAACTTTTCTTGACTTGAATTTCCCCAGTTTTGGTCTGTAAATGAAGTGACCTGATGATCGGTATGTGTATTGTATGATAGATGAATATATTTGGATATTACTCCGTACGTCATTCAAAATCAGGGTCGAGTCGTGTAAGGACTTGCGACGTGACAGGCCGGTGGTGTTGCTGTGTAACGTAAAAATGCCATTTTAGGTGGGGTTTCTGTACTGTACTCTATCATGACTCTATACACCAGTCCAACGTATGTATAAGCGGAGCTTTCGCTCCATCAATCAGACATAATAATCACAGACGAAAGATGAAATACCATCCGAACGATGCATGCCAACCCATACCTCACCTTTGTGCACGGACCACAAACCCTCGCCCAAAAGAAAAAAAAAAAAACAAAAAAAAAAAGAATGGTACAAGAATGGTATCAATCATGAGTCAGATCAATGCTGCATCGTCAAAAAACACATGGATATAAACATGAGGACATCAAGATCCCAACGAAGAGGACACGGGTGACGTGACGCCGTTTTCCTTTTCGGTGAGTTTACATGATTTGCCGACCCATAGTTTCAATGGGCAGCAGGCACATAGCAAGGAACGCAGCCAGGATCAATGCACCCGATGCGTAAATGGGGGCATCAGGGCTGGCGGAACCGCCGTAAATGGCCACCAAGGGGGCACAGAGACCGGCAATCCGGTTGAGACAGGAGGAGATACCCGTGGCAGTGCCGCGGTTGGGGGCCGGGAAGACCTCCGGAGTGTACGCGTACAGAACACCGTACATGATGTTCTGGAAGAAGGCCTCCAGACAGGAGCAGACGAGCTGGACATTCGAGTCGGTGGAGGCAGTGAAACAGAAGAGCAGGACACCGGTGATCAGAGTCGCGATGCACATCGTGCCCTTGCGACCGACGTACTTGATCTCCACGGTGTAGCAAGCTAGAATGGAACCAGGGACACCGACAACGGACGTGATGGCGTAGTTCCGATAAGCGATGTAAGTGGAGCTGGAGCCATCACTCCCGTTGTTGGCCAGGTACTGGGGAAGGAAGGCATTGAAGAGGGGATAGCCCATTCCAATGGTAGTCCAGCAGAACCAGAGCAGAATAGCTAGAGACAAAATGTTAGCAAGAAAACGAGCTATTTGCGAATGGCTGATACGTACTGCTCATAGCAAGCTTCTTTGTGGCAAAAAGCGGGGCAATGTGGTCGAAAGAGAACTTGGAAAGATATCTCTTCACAATCTCAGTCGAGCTGAGCTTCTCCTTCTGAGCCTCCTGCTGGTAGCCGCCAATCTCGTTCAGGATCTCCTCAGTGAGCCACGTCTTGGTCTTGTTCTTGTGAGCGATACCGTAGACAGAAGCAACAGCGTCAGCTTGGCGACCACGGCCCAGCAGGAACTTGGGCGATTCGTAAAGGTGGAAGAGGAAGAAACGGCAGATGAACATGAGGAAGGTCAAGCCACCAATGGTGAAGACGAAGTATCTCCAGCCCATGTTGTCCTGCTTGCTGCAGCAAGCGACCCCACTTGCGACGTCACCGCACGAAGGAAGACCGCTGTCGCAGCTGAAGTTGGGAATTAGAGCCCAGGCGAGCAGACTGGAGATCAGCTGACCGACAGGCCACCAGACACTCAGCATGGTCAACATGTTTCCGGAAGCAAAGGGCAAAAATTCCAGGAATAGAGCTCCATCGACGGGGAGGTTACCGCCAACACCAAGGCCCAAGCAAGAATAAAGGGCACAAGTCCTGAATTATCAACATTAGCCACGGGTTGATGTTCATAGTCGAGGCCATAACATACCCAATCCAGTTCGGACCGCCACCCGCGGCAACACCAAAGACACTGCACAAGAAAAGAGTCGTGTTGAAGGCGAGGCGGCGTCCAACGATATCAGAAGCGATACCCCAGAATGAAGCACCAATGCACAGACCCAGGAATAGAGCACAGGTTGTGAACCGCACCCGGGTGCTGGAAACTCCGAATTCCTCGGCAATTGGTGTTAGGGTTAGAGCAATGCCCTTCGAGACGTTAGTATGATATACAATGGATGTTACCATTGCTGGTCTCTTACCTGTAACCAAAGACTAGCGGCCTGGCGTTAGCAACACGATCACTGGCAGAGGGAAGCGCTCTTCTACTTACTTGTCTGCAAGCCAACCGAAGCCGCACATAGCGAAAAGCTCCCACTGATACCGGCCCATGCCAATATCCTGGATGGCTCTGTTGATGACCTTTGCTTTGCCTGCATATACGATTTAGCTTTGCTCTCGGATCATCGACACGGATAAGAAGGATGATTGTTATGGAGCCACTTCTTAGCGCGACGGATGATGATATATAACATACGGTCATAGACGGAGTCCTGCCCGGTGGCAACCAGATCGGCCTCAATCTCAGCGCGGAGGGCTTCGATGGTCATATGATCGTAGTTGTGGACGGATCCAAACCCGGCTTCCTCGGAGGGAGCTCTGTCAAGGCTTTTTTCATCAGTCTTGTCGTCAGTACCGCCCACTTGTTTTGTTGTCTGGGTGTCGGGTCTCGAGCGCATTGGGGCCTGATCGAGAGGGATCACGACCCCAGCGAAGTCGCTGTGGTCGTGGTTTTTGAACGGGTTGATTCCGAAGGGCATTGTCGCTCGGGAAACTGACGGTGCTCGGAATATGGGTCAATTTCGAGGGTCAATGGCCGGTGATGGGAACGAGGAGGCGCTGTCGAGGGCTCGTTCTACCGTGAAGAATGGGCTGGAGTCACCGCGGGCAATGGAGAGATTCGTTCTACTTCTCAAGTCGCACAGGATCTAACGAAGCGGGTTGTCGCAAGGGTCAAGTGGGAGGCGCAATGGTATTGTTTGTGGCGCGAGGGACTGGGACACCCGGTAGATGGCGCGAGGGGATGATGGGATCAGTCGGTCCTATGTCGCTGCTAGTGACGAAGAGTACAGCAGAACTGTTCAAGCGATGTTGGGTATAATGGCCAAGAAGAAGTAAATGGAATGTTGCTAGCCCAGAGGGCGAGAAAATGGCAAAAACTGGCAGCCCAATTGACCTGATATGACAGGACGAGAGAACCTCGGGGGGGTGGGAAAGGATGAGGTCACAGGCAAGGAGACTGAGCCTCTCGGGGAGGATGAGCGGGGAGAGCAGGTGAAGGAAATGAAGCTTTCTGATGGCGATGAGACAATGAGCGCAACGGTAGGCGTCTTCAATGCTGGTGCCGTGGTATAGATGGATGAATTAGGAAGGAAGGATGAGTGGGTGGGATTGCGGGGGAGGGGCGGAGAGGAACCACCAGCAAAGGAGGAAAAGGTAGGGAAAGAGGAGGAGAGAAGAAGAGGAAGAGGTAAGAGGGTACCTTAGGGCCGTGAGGTGGTAGGGAAGAGAAAAGGAGAAAAGCTTGCAGGATACAGAGAATATTTCGCAGTCTATATACGGTTTGGGAATCGAGGAAACAGCGACAGAGCAGAGCAAAGAGTGATGGCATTGTCCCTCATCTACACCTTCCTTTTTTTTTTTTTCACGCTAGTACGCTATCGATAGGTAGTAGAGACTACCGCAGAGACCACTGCAGTGGACTGGAGGGGCAAAAGACAACAGGAACCTTGAACAATTGAATGGGTCGTCATGCAGCCGATGAGCCAGTCAGCGTGGAGCCAGTCTGTCAGCATCAAGATTGCAGCAAGTGGTAGAAAAAGTTTTTCGGTGTCACCCAGGATGATCAGATTCTCCAGCATTGGCTGCTCATCTCCCGGCCATCAACCGAAACTCTCTGCTGCAGCAAGAGTCCCTCTAAGCATCTCTCATTAGCAAGCAGACTGTGGCAATAGAACCGGATAGTTGCAAGGGACGGTGGGTTGTTTGACAAGCCACAATGAAGGATTGTACATGCAGTCGTAGTACTGTAGTAGTAGTAGTAGTAATAGTAGTAAGTAAAGTACTTAGTGAAGGGTAGCCGGGAGCGGAGAAGGAGAATGGAGCATGGAGAATGGAGAATGGAGAATGGCGCGGAAGCTTTGATAGGCTCAGCCCAGATCACGCCGGCCGACGCCGACGCCTTTTTTGGTGGATTGCTCATTGGCTGAAAAGGCAAAAGTGGTGTGGAGGTGGGGGCTTCTAGTGGGCTTGGCGTTTGGCTGGCTGCAGAACGGCCCGCTAAAAGCAGCACTGGAAAAAGTGGAAGGGACGGACAGGGCAGGCACAGGAACAATCCACCACCAAAGGACAGTGAGGACTCCATTGATAATCAATGGCCAACTGCCTTATCTCTCAGATTAGTCACTGGAATACTATCAATCATGTTTATACTAAAAGGGCAAGGACTGACAACATTATACAGAAATAGTTATTACTTCCCTTCCTCTCCATCATCCCACCTTTTGGAAATTCACAGTCAACGCAACGGTCAACTCAAAGAGGGTCCAAGAACGGGAACAGCCACCCCATCATGGCGACCCATTCGTTTCCGTTGTGGCTCACTCCGCTGGCTCACAACATTTCCTGGAGCCTGGCGTCGAACCTGAAAAATCCAACTGGGAAGCGACCTTAAGCTTCTTTGGGCGGCTGGCTGGGTCTCTCCGACTCTCCGGCCATCCTCGGGCTCCGCCTCAGGGAAAGACGATCCCCACCACACGTTGGACCAAACAGTGCACACTCGTCAGCGTCAGAGCATGTGGGAATAAGGAGCAATCGCTTGCATCGCTGATTCAGATTGTGCCAGGCTGCCAGCCCTGTGCCCAGCGGGCCTATGGTCTCGTGATGACAATGAACAACGGGGTTCAATCAGGGATTTCCGCATCTCTATCTTGCGATCGATCAACCAGCTGAAAGGAAAATATCCGCCGTGATGGGCCAAAAAAATCCCACGTGCCAAGATTGAAGTTGACCTGACCCCTACGTCATCGCGGACACGGTTGAATTGGCGCTAATCCAAACCCGGCAATCATCTGGAGGTAAAATTACCCCATCTGGTGACAGCGTCGGTACCGAAGCCCATGTCTCGAAGAGATTCGGAAGGTGCCGCGAATTCGCTTTGCCAATTTCACCGCTGCCCAAACTTCGTCGGCTCACGGTCTTTCGACGAGATTCGTTTGGCATCTAACTTCAATGGCGGGGGCAATCGTCTTCTCGGAAAGTGGGAAGGAGGCAGTGGTTCGCATACTTTGGTGTTGAAGGACGGATGTAAGGAACAGCAGGCGTGTCTGATCGAAGTGTGCACGATCTACAGGACACATGCGAACGACCACCCGCACCCACGGCTCCAAGCCAAGAGTTCAGCAACGAGTCAACAAATTCAATTTGTCTGACCCTGTCGACACGAGGCGGAATTCCCAAGCAGGCTTAGGCTCGATGCTGATGCAGCCTTTCATCATGGTCAGTTTCGTCATGTCCGCATCCGTCCTGAGCCATGATGATGCCTCAGCCCGGAGCCTCCGCTACTACCCAAACCTCCAGTTCAATTGTCTGAATGCACCGATCCCACTGTCCGACCGAACAGAGACGACGGAAGAGGAGAGTCTGGACCTCTCATCACACAATGTCTTTACTCCAGTAACTCCCGCAATTCGTTGAGTGGGCGACGGAAAACATTGTCGCGCCCTGACCAATGGCGGTGCTTTTGTCGCCGAAGTGGCCCGGGACTCATTTACCCGCCCCGAATACCAAAGGTGATGGGGCCAAAGTCGAGCCTCTCCTAGTCTAGTATGATTCGGGACCCCTTAGCCTGTTTCGCCATGGTCTTCTCTTCGACTTCGCTCGGCACTGCCATACCTTGGTCCCAGCCAATCCGGTTGGAGCTTTCATTCTCAACCAGAAAGGACCGTCTTTGGGGCAAAAGACCTCCCGAGGTATGGGGTAAGATGTGTTCCCCCAGCCTGTCAGCGTACTGGACGTCGGACTAGGACACGAGTCGCAATTTGTTCGAGACTACGACTTACGTTGCAGTAGTCTTGTGCAATTTCGGCTACCGTGTGTTCTGATTGCTTTTCAGGTGCAGCGGAATAAAGGGGAGTAGGACCGGAAGATTTGCCCCAGTCCGTTACATGAGCACGAGCGTAGTAAACGTAGACTACAGTTAGTTACCGTAAGCCACCATCTCTCAGTCTCAGCCTCTTTCTTCCATCCTCCAAAGCCAGTCAGTCAGTCTTCATAAAAATCGAACCAGATTTCATCGTGGGAGATCTACTCACTCAGTCCCTCAGCCGTCCCTATATCCCCCATCCGCTAAGATCCACCTAAAAATGGCATGATCCGCTCGAGTAAAAACAATGAATTGTATTCATGGTCTGATATGCCGGTCTCCATGCACAAAGATAAAAAAAAATTTCCAGTCTCGCCAATATCCGTACCGATGAATTAAGACTTGATGGAGCGATACTAGACACTACCTAATGTAGGAAGACCGCGCTAGTCAAGGCCAGTACTGGGCTACAGATTGCTCGCTGGCTAGGTAGTGAATGCAGTACTTTGGTCTGGACCTGTCAGACAAAGTACGCCTTATCCTGCACTTCACTTCACTACCCAGTATACTGTCAGGATAACCAACCACTAGTCAGCTCGCAGTTGGATAATCATCACTAACTTATCATGTCAGTTGACCACCTAGTCTCCAGATACCCGTTCCACATTGTCACCATCACCATCAACACTACCATCAACACTACCATCCACGTTGATAAACGAGTAGCTACGCGGACACCCAGTCAGCAGCCCCAGGCCAACTCACTGGATCCTACGGCAGTCACCCATAAGAACCAGTCAACCCCACGGAGTAGGCAAGTCCGTCGATACTGCACTCCGCAAACACCACTATCCTCACCAAACAGCCACGACCACAATACTTTCAAAATGTACCCCCAAGGCTTTTCCACAGGGCTGAGGTACAGTGCTGTACTCGACCCTGAAGAGTGAAAAGCCCATTCATACCTACAACGTAGGGTACCACCGGCAGCCAGCCACAATGGTTGGTACGCGTGATCCAAACCCCCTTCTCCCCCTATCCTCGGGACTTTTGTGCTAGGGGTGCGCTACGGTGCGGTGGCTGTGGTGTAGCTTCGACGCCATGAGCCGAGCCGAGCCAGGAACAGATTTCCTGTTTGGGTGGTGGTGCTATTGCTGCTAGCTCGTCGTTGGGATACCATACCGATTCCCGATGATCGGGTTCGGACCCTGTTCGCTTAGAGATGGCCTATTGCGAGTCGAAATATTACTTTTCATGTATGGATGATTGGATTCGGGGAGAGACGGACTTTTCTCTATTTTGGTTGCAATGTTGATTCGATACTGAGGACGGAGGGTTCAATGCTGGGTCTGAGAGGGGTTCGTGGTCCCGAGTCGATTAAGCTTGTTTCCACTGGGCAGTATTTACCGTGGGGTCAGGGTCTGTCCGGGGGGGGGGATGGCTAGGCGGATGTGTTTCTTTACCTGAAGGGGTAAGTCGACGTATATCCTGAGATCCGTCGTTTGACCTAGTCTGGGGTTTTGGACTGGGGAGGACTGTGGCGAGATCGTCACGGGAGGATGTGGACTGTTATGGGAAAGGGATCCCTGAGGTAGATATAAGGTTCGCGTTTTTATCATGTACATCGATGCGGTTTGATTCATGTATATACTAGCTATACAGGATGAACTAGGAAGTGAGTCCCTCCTTAGTTTCCGGTGATGCCTCACAGCTTATCGATTCTCCCCAGCAGCCACTGCAGGTGTCGGTACGACACACGGGGCTGGTACTGCGGCTGCATGTGGCCGCTCTGGTAGGTCTCCGCCCACATCAGGCCGCGCTCGTAGTGCTGGATGCCCATGTCGCCCTGGCCGCCGGTGGCGCCGCCCAGGATGGGGTCCCACTGCAGGTCCGGGAGCTCGATGTTGATCGGGGTGGCGGGCTCGGTCTCGAAGCCCAGCTTGCCGTTCCAGGTCATGTTCTGGATGGAGAGCAGGGTGCCCTGGGTGAGGATGACCATGTCGAAGTCGCCGTTGGCGATGAGCACGCGGTTCGTGCCTTCGATGACCTGCGGCAGGACGTGCTCGATCGGGTTGGCGGACAGGTCGCCCTCGCCCTCGGGGCCGCCCACGCCCACGAAGACGCTCTCGTTCGAGCACTCGGACCAGGTGATGTTGGCCGGGGCGTGCAGGGCGCGCTTCACGTCCGACCGGTCGAAGTAGACCGTCGCCCCCGGCGGGGTGTAGTCGACCTCGGTCGGGAAGCCCAGCACGTCCCAGACGATGGGGCAGTTCTCGTTGATCGCGTAGGGGTTGAAGCAGGGGTTGTTGCCGAGGACCTCGTTGTTGATCAGGTCCCAGAGGTCACAGTCGCCCGAGTAGTTCATGCTCTTCGGAGGCTGGACCCCGCTGGCGGGGAAGGTGAGATACTCGTCGATGAAGGCCTTGTAGCCGCAGGACTCGTGGAGCTGCTCCAGCTCGGCCAGGAAGCTGGCGTTGAAGTTGAAGAGGACCTTGTTGTCCTGGACGAAGGGCACGACCGGTGCGTCGGTCTGGACGTAGTCGAACTGGCCGATGACAGGGTCGTAGGTCAAAGCTCCTGTAGTTCGGGTAATGAGTCAAACAGGTCCGTTCTCAAACTTCTTGGAGACACTCACCCTTCAGGTCAAAGTACTCCGTGTCCTTCTCGTCCAGCATGGCAGCTGAGATATAAGGGACATAGCGGCCTGCATAGCTCTCACCAGTCACGTAGATCTTGAAGTTCTTGATGCCAAAGGTCTGCTGCCAGTTCTTGAAGAACTTAATGAAGTCCTGTGCGATCTCCTCCTCAGACACTGCAGTCGGGGTGCCAACAGAGAAGCCCGTGCCAACAGGTTGGTCGACCCTAAATGGTTGGCTTAGCTCGGGTGCCCCTAGTGGGATACCAGAGATGGCAACTTACCACAGCACGTTAGTCAAGTTTACCCATGAGTATTGGTTCTCAACGGGCAAGTATGTTCCAGGCTGCCAGGTGAACCGTCCATTCTCTTGGAGAAAGCCCTCCTGTAAACTCATCAGCAGTGTATCCAAGTTGAACTAGGATAATGCTAGGAACGGACCAGAGACGAGCATCCAGGGCCACCATTCAACCAGATGGTGACCTCGTCCACGGGCGCACCAACGGTAGGTTGGAAGACAAAGAAAAGTGCTCTCGACGGATCGTCCTTCTCGATGGGGATCAAGCCAGAGTATGTCTCGCCGATGTCGTAATGAACATCAGGAAGACTCTTCACACGGAAGGCTAGGATCCAAGTCAGCTCTGTCCTTTGATCATTGCTCCGGGCAACATACCCTGCGTAGCGTTGTTGTAGAACCGGTAGTCTTCGACAGGGGTGGAGTGCGACCGCTTCGCGACCTCTCCTGCGCGCTTAGCCGGTTTGGCGTCGCGAGTTCTTTGAGCAAACCGGCCAAGTTTACCAGCAGATGCATGGTCTGCGCATAGCGAGGCGGCTAGGACAGCCGTGGACAGTAGACTGCGGAACAGCATACTGGTAGTGTGATGTGGGACAAGCCTTGTGACAAAAACTTGCTTGCCTATTCTTGAGTCTGAGCAAGAGAAAGAGGGGTATTTATATCACTCAAGCTGTATCACCTATCAAGAAAGATAGGCTGATGAGCTATTTGATACGGTCATCGTGTGGAGCCATTTAGGTTCGGAGAAAGCTTCAATCGATGCGTCGACTTGAGAGGGCCGGATATGACCAAGTGGAGAAGCATGGACAGGCTAACTGGTTCTTTTGATGGCTTGCAAGCTTCTGGCAGCAGGTAGGATGGGACCTTGCATGGTGCTCGGCTATCTCCTCACCATAGCCGATTGTTTTCAGGCACCGGGCCTTGCAGTGTTGACAACATGCAGATTACGTCGCACCAGTCCCATCCCGTGTTGGTTTGATTATGCTGGGTGGGCGATATGGGAGTGAATGCACTCAATTGGCAAGACGGCAGCTGGATCAAACGGTAGACATAGCGATAGACATGAGGGCAGGATCACGTAGCATTAAACGCTCAATCCCGGCCGCAAGCGATAGGTCCCTAAGCTGTGGAGAATTCTCCGGGCTAATACACAAACAGAGTCAGTTGGCCGCTTAGTGTCGACAATGCTAGCGATCGTCAAGGAAGGTGATAACGTGATAGAATTTGAACAGATAAGACAATAAGAAAGACGAGCACTCACTGGCTCAAACCTTGCTGTCCTCATTTCCCCAATGTGGGATGATGTGATGGGTCGTGGTTAATTTCGCAGTGTCTCACGGAGGAGGGACGGAGTGCGACGGAGATAGTCTAGCCGCGATGGGAATGCCGAGGACAAGCTTTCGCCGGGTCCCATTCCGGCCTTCGACCAGAACAGCCGCTGGGTTCCGGTCAAAACAAGCACCTTTTCCGCTACAATATACTCCAATCTCTTCTCTTCGAAGCTAGAGACGCGTTCTTCTGTTGCCATAGCTTGAGAAACACGATTGAATCTTGCAGTCGAGGCTGCAACATTCGGCAGATAGTCTTCAGAAGCTGCAGGTACCGCCACAGCCAATGTCAAGATAACACGCTCAGTTGGCACTTCAATGGTGCATCTCAGTTATAGACGAAGCACACTACATCCTGCCAAAAGATTCTTAGAGGCAAAGCAGAACAGTCCCTTCCCTTTTTTCTACTTCCCTTCCTCCTCACCACCAGGACATACAAATGCACAGTACCTCAGTTGGCAAGGTCGAAAGACGCTTGAAAATCACCAACAAGTTATGGCACATGCCCTGACCAGCATTCGAGAAAACAATTAGTTAATCATAAGAATGCTCTCAGGCCAATTCTACCACGTCTTACAACAAAACGATCGCAGTCGACTGGCGGCAGCTAGTCCGGAAGCACACAGCAATTGAGGGTGGCCACCCGCTGATCAAGTCTTTTCTGCATCTGTTGCACACGGCCCATCTCAATCTCATTGGTGCGGAACCGCTTGAGGTTCGAGGCCAGACGGAATTTGGACCAGATCCAAATAGCCCATTTCGTGGGGTCATACTGCCACCACTCAATGCCGTTGCGATAGTCCGAGGGGAACTAAACATCAAAGGTTACCACAACGATAAGTGAAGATCTCGAAATGGAATCCGGTCCCCAAGCGGATTGCTTTACCTCGTGGTGGAAGTTATGGTAGCCCTCACCAAGTGTGACCAACGCGGTAAGAATATGGTCGCGGGGCGAGTTCCTGTCATCAAAGGGCTAAAGCTTGTCAGCAGATCAGGACACCTTCGCCAAAGCACATGGAAACTGGCCTGATCTCCCAGCCAATGTGCCAATGAATTGACACAGAAAGTTGCCTGCTGGAATAGGAACATCCTCAAGATGCCAGCATACACCAAGCCACCCTTCCAGTCGCCCCATCCCAAGCCAGCTATGACCATCGGTAGGATCAAGCCAAAGCCGAACACAAATTTGATATAGTTCCGATGCTGCCAGATGACTACTGGATCTTCGTTCAGGTCAGAGATATCTGGCCGACCACAGTGCTTGGGGTCCTGCTTCAGTATCATCCATAGCACGTGGGAGTATAACAGGCCCCTCCGTATATTGTATGGGTCCTTCTCCGTGTCAGTCCATCTGTGGTGGGCGCGATGTTTCGCACTCCACCAGCGAATCGAGCCCTGCACGGCGCCTCCACCGGCACAGGCCAGGAAAATTCTGAGCGGTAGGCCCCTGAAAGATAAAATGCCCGTCAACAATCATGTTCTTGTGTACAAGCTGTTGGGGCTATGAAGCTAGCTCATACACAGAGAAAAACTCACGCTTCGTAGGTTCGATGTGACCATAACCGATGATAGCCAGCGGTAATACCCAGCGCAGTCCAAAAGTAGTAGAGCACAGCCCAGATGATAGTGGATCGTCGCAAGGGGGTGAAGACAGCAGCAATGCAGCCAAGTAACGGTATTATGATGATGAAAGTCGTGTTAAACCAAGCAATATCGCGGGGCCAGTTGCGAAGTGTAACTGGTCCCTCGCCGATGTGCGGCTTTGGGATGTCTGGCATGGTACCAGCCTTTATGGGGTGCAATCCTAGAGTCAGGAACCACCGAGGTATAGACATTGTGTGAAAGAACATTGCAAAGGAATCAATTGCGAAAAGCCTGCCTTAAAACCACAAGGACATCGCCTACTTGAACATGTTGAACAGTTGGGGATGTGCTACTTCCGGAGCCGAGATGCCCAAACGTCGAACAGGGCAATGGTGGTGACCGAAAACCATACGTGAGCAGTCACACAGCATGGGAGTTTCATTTCCTTCTGACTCGAGTGTTAGTATGTCGCGCATACTCCTACGGTTACTTGCACATCCTTCACCTCGTCTGTTGTGCAATGATAGCATCCTGGTCCAATCTCTGCACGTTGAAAGACGTACGGTGGTCGGTTTAAGGGCTCATACAGCAGCCTGAGCGAGAGAAAGAGACTATGAGACGACTGCATGATAGAACTACTTTGGAGTAACAGCAGCACAGGCCGGCTTGAAGCACGCCTGCCCAAAAAGGCCTGGGTTAGGAACCTACCTTACGTAATGTCCTCATCTTCTCAATCTAAGAACCTCCACGGCTCCTCTGCCTTCCTCCTTCTCTGCCTCTGCTTTGTCTGTCCTCTATGTTATAAAGTATGAGTCATAAGTCTACTTGTTGCTGACTCCAGGATACAGTTCATCTTCGATCTCCTCTTCCAATTCTCGTTCCACCTTCCCAATGGCGTTTAGCGTGTGTTCTGACTCGCCAAGCCAGCAGACACAGCCAGACCCTGAACTCTTACAAACCGACTCGACAGGGTCCTCGACTCCTTTGCCTCGCTTGTTAGCGGTCTGTCACCATGATACATGATTTGTGGTCAGTCTGAGACTGTGAAGATGTGGAGTAGTTGCTCATAGTAAGTGCTGTATGAGAGAAGAAGCAGAGAGGCCCAAGCAAACATCCTTCTCCCCACTGTGGAGCACTGAATACCACCCACTAATCGGTTGCCCGGCTAGCTTAGTATCCAATATCCATCCATTCCTTTTCCCACTTTTTTTTTTCTTCTTTTGCCGCCATGCTTTCCCAGGGTACCTGGTTGTTTCGTTCGGGCATATTTGCTTGCACCTGAAGACTGGTAGCGGATTGTGCTGTGGATGGTTGCTTTTTGCTGTAGAACTTCTACTTAATTCTTGGTGCCTTCCCTCTGTCTTTTCCTCGCTGTATCTCTTTCAACTTTTATACTGGCCGTTTGAAAACACGGGAACGAAATAAGCTTCCCCCTCCGAATCGTCTGTGGTCCACCTTCCCGCCGGTACCGCAATTGATATGGCGACGAATTTCGAGTCATCGGACAACGCGCGCGTGGAGTCTACTGTACACACCACGCAGCTCAATGACTCGAATGAAACGACAACCCCAGCATTCGAGGAGAAACAGCCAGACACACAAGTCAACGATGGCATCCCACAAAGTGCACCAACGACACTTGAAGGCGGTCTGTACAGGCCTTCATCTGGCGAATTCCCCTCGGGCGATTCAGCGCATAGTGTCCCCGTGACTGTCGGAACGACCGATGCGGATGGCAACACCTATCCTGAAGGTGGACTAGAAGCTTGGTTGGTAGTCTTTGGAAGCTTCATGGGCCTCGTTGGCTCTCTTGGTCTGGTGAATACCATCGGCACACTACAGGCGTACATTGAGAGCCATCAATTGAAGGACTACAGCTCTGGCAGCATCGGGTGGATCTTCGGCGTCTACGCATTCCTGACCTTCTTCTGCGGCATTCAGATAGGCCCTATCTTCGACGCTAAAGGACCCCGATTTCTTGTCTGCGCCGGAGCTGTGCTGATCATGGCGATGATGATCGCCTTGGGGTTTTGCACGCAGTACTGGCACTTCATGCTAGTAATAGGTGTTGCAGGGGGTATCGGAGCCTCGTTGCTGTTTACGCCAGCAATTTCTGCCATCGGACACTTCTTCAACGAGAAGCGCGGGATCGCGACGGGCATCGCCGCAACGGGTGGCTCCGTTGGTGGCGTTATCTTCCCCCTGGCACTGGAAGCTCTATTCCCCAAGATAGGGTGGGCATGGGCAACTCGAGTCATTGCTCTCATTTGTCTCATCACGCTGCTAGCAGCATGCCTACTCATCAAATCCCGGTTGCCCAAGAAACCGGCGTCGAAAGAGAACGTTCTTCCCGATTTCCGTATCTTTCGGGATCCTGTATTCACCCTCACAACCCTGGGGATCTTCTTTATCGAATGGGGACTTTTTGTCCCACTCAGTTATATCTCCTCCTACGCATTGGATAATGGCGTCTCGACAAAACTGTCGTACCAAATGCTGGCAATCTTGAACGCTGGTTCGTTCTTCGGACGAGGTATTCCTGGCTTTGTTGCTGATTATCTGGGCCGCTTCAATACTCTCATCGTCACTGTTGCCTTGTGTCTTGTATGCAACGCATGCCTCTGGCTTCCAGCGAGCGACAGTGTCCCGGTTATGATTGTGTACTGTGTCATTTTTGGATTTGCAAGTGGCAGTAATATCAGTCTTACGCCAGTCTGTATCTCTCAGCTCTGCAAGATCGAGAATTATGGCAGATACTATGCCACAGCGTACACGATCGTCAGTTTTGGGTAAGGCGATTCCCTACTTACCTATAATGATTTTGCAGGGCTAATGACACATTCTAGAACCCTTACTGGCATGCCTATCGCTGGTGTGATTCTTTCCCGCTGCGATGGGAAGTACTGGGGTCTCATCACCTTTACGATCTGCTGCTATGCTCTTGGCCTTGTTTGCGTTACTGCAGCCAAATTAGTCCGTGTCGGCTGGCGCCAGGCTCTCGTGATCTACTAAACTATGACACGGATGGGTATCAATCTTACTTCCCAGTCTAATATATAATATCATTTTTGGAGGCTTTGAGCCACATCACAGAAACAGTAGGTATACTTATACATGCAGCTGGCCATTCGCGGTACCATGAGGCGAGCCGGACGTCTGTTCGCGGACTTCACTTCCGACGAGGTCTGCCCAACAAACCTACGGTGGCCATCCATCACACACGTCTGTTGTCATGATGAGCAATTTAAGCTCATTGGATTGTGATTTGAGGGAATCTAAGGCAATTACACATTGATTCCCGGATTACATAGAGACGAAGTCATCAGAGTTGATATAATGCCACTTCTTCCATGACATGAAATTTTCTGGCTGCCAGCCTTGCTTCACATTTTAGCCTCGGTAAACAGCCTTCGGAAAGATCAACATTATTGCCAGTCTACGATGCCTTCCTCCAAGCAAGTTCTAGCAGTGGTCTTGACCTCCTGGGCTCTTGGCCCCGGTGTAGCAGCTATTCCTCAATATCCAGGAATCCCTGCAGGAGGTCCTGGGGCTCTATCCACAACAGGAACCAAGTCTTCGAGTTCTGTGTCTGCATCTCAAGGAGGAAACTCCACCTCAAGCACGCCCATTTCCTCTTCTCAGAGTGTCGTGCATCCATCTCACTCAGCTACATCGAGTGCCATACCTCCATATGAAGACGGAGACCATTGGGATGCTCATCCAATCCACCCATTCCCCCCAGCTATTTCATTGACGGCTACACCCACGACGTCCGAGGCTGCTCATATTCCCCCTGGAGTGGTGCCTTCCTCCTCTGAGGCTGTTATACCTCCACCACACCCATTCCCTTCTGTGCCGCACGACAGCGCCCAAGAAACACCTACACCTCACGATGGTGCTGCCGAGCATATTCCACGTCCTCCTCTTTCCAGCAGCAGCAGCAGCAGCAGTATTCACATTCCCTCGTCAGGAGGCATCGTGCACCCCACTCACTCCCTCCCATCCAGCGTCGCCACTTCGACATCCAGCAAGATCGCACCTCCCGACAGCAGTTCTGCGAAGATCCTGCCCGAGCCCACGCCTTGCCCGAAAGAAAGCGAGCCTGCATGCCCATCTGTGCAGTGTCCCCCCTGTCCCTCAGTGCACACGGTCACAGTAACCGTGAGTGGCTCCAGCTCCAGCGCGAGCAGCAGCAGCAGTAGCACCAGTATCAGCCGAATTACAGTACACCCCCTCGCCCCGAGACATGCCCTAATCAACCACAGCAGCGGTGTGCTACCAGTCAGCGTCACTCCAAGCGCGAATCCAAGCGCGACACCCAGCAACACCTACGACGAAGTGGAGGCCGAAGAGGAGGAGGAAGAGGAAGAGGAAGACATCCTGATCTGCGTTCTTCCCGAAGACCTCCCGATCTGCATCCCGGCATCCTCCTCCACTGCGCCAGTACAGCCCCCGCCAAGCAGCGGGATAATCTCCATCCTCTCCACCGCCAGCCGGGAAGGCATCATCCCCGGGCCCCATCCCAGCCCTACTATCACAAGCGGTGGCGGCGGTATCGAGACGAAAACCCCGCGACCAACACGCACAATCACCACGCGCACGCGCACGCGGACTCGCAGCCGCACCCGCACCATTCGACCATCACAGACAACACTCTCGAAGATCCCATCATCCAGCACCAGCACCAGCATCAGTGGCAACGTCAGCATCCTCCCAATCCACCCATTCCCCGGGCCCGCGCCAATCCCGACCTCCCTACCCCGACCACCACCTGCAATATCGCCCTCCTTCCCCATCCTCACAACAATGCCCCTCCCCTTCCCCATGCCCCATTTCCCACCAGAAGTCGAGCAGGAGGAAGAAGAGCCATCCTCGTCCTCTCAAACGCCCACACACACCTCCTCCACCACTGTGACAGGGTCATTCTTCTCCCCGACCCCTACTCCTTCAAAGAAATCCCCCTCTGTCTCTTCATCATCGTCATCATCATCATCATCATCATCATCATCATCCCGTCCCTCACAGCCACCACCTCACTCCCCAGCCCCAGCCCCAGCGGCAGCCCCAGCAGCCCCAGCGGGCCATCTACCCGCACGCCACCACGAGTTTCGATACCCGATGATCCGGCGGGATTTTCGAGAATTCTTGATCTGATTTATCTACCTACCGAAGTCGAAGAGCGTGCGTTGTGTTCGGGGGGAGGGTGTGAGGGTTGTTGCCCTTGGTGGATGAATTATGGTTATGTAATTCGCTTGCTTTCTTCTCGTTGCTTTCGACTATTGTTGGATTCTCTCTGGCACTTGGTTTTTCTCTGTGTCTGTCTGACTTCGATCTAATATCCTCATCAAGAATGGGGGCGGTAATTGAAAAAAACAAAGTGTCGTTCTTCTTTGGTACACGCACGCACGCCCGGCAGGCTATATAGCTAGCTAGTTCATCGTCTTCTGGCTGGGGAACTTTAGTGCTTTATGATACGCGTGGGTCTTGTGATATCCCCGGTGTTTAGTGATACTCATAGTATATCACCAGATTCGTAGTGTTGAGGGTGGTTGCAGGTGCAGTGCAGTGAGTGCAGTGCAGTACAGTCTAGTCTAGGCTCCAGAATCAAACCTCCCTTACAGCGCTAACCATACAAGTCAAATAGAGAAAAGGAAAAAAGAATTATCGTGGACCCAGTCATTGTACTGGACCTGCTCACAATGTAGAATGTGGAAGATCTTCTGTCCATTCCCACACGCACACTAGCATTTCGTTCGCGCCGAAGTGGAATATACTTTTTCGGTCTAGATATAGCATGAGTATCATTCTCAAAATCCCACCTCCTAATTGGGCTAGAAGCAGAAGGAAGTGAATATAGGTTAAATACAATGCAAACTTTAGGAACAATGGCGCATCCCCGTAAGTAGAATATCGAAAAAAAAAAAGGACACAGGCTAGAATAAGAAGGGTGATGCCGGAAACACATTAGTGTAATAAGGATTTAATATGGTCGAAAGTGGGAAAGGTGGCGAGAAACATATGCAAGAGAAACAAAAGGCTGCAACCATTTACAGACATACAGGGAAGTTTTGGTAGGTGTGGGTGGTTGCGGAGTCAAACTCATGCCAATCTTCATTCCATGCAAACATGTAGTATAGTCAGGACAGAAATTGAAAAGAGCTGCCTGCCGCCTTCCCCTCCAACCCTTCTCTCTTCCACCAAGTCATAGAGAAAAATTTCCATGCGCCACAAAACACCACACAGAGACACATGGGCCTTACAGGTCACAATCACAATCCGAGATCAGACAAAAGATATAGTATACGCGAAAACGTGTCAGATACAACGCATAAATGGCCATGGCTGGAACTGTCGACAATGGTTACTCGCAACAAGACGTATGCAAGGATGGAGGATTCGCCCGAGAAGCAGGAGAAAGGGAAGGGGGGACAATGGCGAGAGCTGGGTATGTTCAGTCACACATGAGACTCGGGGAATTAGGCTCCCAGGAGCCACATGTGCAACTGAAATGATGCGAAGGAGGAATATTGATTGAAAGACGTAGAAGTCACCATGCCAGTGAACATTTCGTACAGGCGCGCAAAGGGATAGGGTATATGATTTGCATCGAAGCCACTCGAAAGATGAAAAAAAAAAACAAGCGGAATGGAAGTATCTTGAAATCGTCTCACGAGCTGTTGGACCGCAACAGTGCCTGTAGATTCGTCAGTATAAGCACATTTTTGTAATTCCGTGAGCCAACTTACCCTTTCCATGGTCAGGTCTTCCTTCTCCAAAGTCGGGCTTGCCAGACTACCGCCGTTCATGGCACCTGATGCGGTCAAAGCTCTCGCCTCCATACCTGGGCGCTGATGCTTGCCATCAGCGGGGCTGTGATGGACGGGATGCATCTCGCCGCTGCTGGAGATTCGCGATTCTTTGCTCTTTTCCAGAAGCGAACCACCTAGCGTAGCACACTTCAAGATGGTCTGCATCATTTGGTTCTGCTTCAGAGGCTTGGATAGATACTCATCCATCTGAGCTTGGATACACTTCTCCCGATCGCCTAACATCGCGTGCGCCGTTAACGCGATGATAGGGGTTCGGCTGAGGCCGCTCTCCCTCTCGTACTCGCGAATTTTTCCGGTGGCTTCGAATCCACCCATTACCGGCATCTGCACATCCATCAAGATGACATCGTAGCGACGCTGCTTCACGGCTTCGACGGCCTCGAGACCGTTACTGACAACAGACACGTTGTGGTTGTGCTTCTCCAAAATCTTGACGGCCAATTTCTGATTGACATCGTTGTCTTCCGCCAAGAGAATGTCGAACGAGCGAGAATGGTCGGTCGTAATGGGCGTGGAACGGCCCTCCAAGGCAGGTAGCATACCATTGCCGAGGTCAATTGGCTGACATGGCGTCGTCATGTATGAGCTGATACCGAGGTCAAGAGCGGACTTCAAGCTGACACACACCAAGGGGCAGACGAGGACAATAGGGACATATTTGAAGTCATCGAATGTCCGCAGCAGTCGAGCAGTCGCCACAGAGTCCACGATAATCACATCGTAGGCATGGCCGGACTCCTTGCCAGAGGGATCTTGAATCTCCGGCGGCGGTACGTGGTCCTCATTGCGCACAACAATAGGCTCCAGGTCGATCTGCTTGAGCATCTTCATAACATTCTCGGCCTGGCCACCGTTCTCTCCCTTGTCAATGAAGAGGACTCGATGGTGCTTGTACGGCAGGAGTTGCGACGCAATAACACTCAAAGACTGGTCGGCTAGTTTCACGACGCAGGTGAAATGGAATGTACTGCCATGGCCATACTCGGACGTGACCCACACATCACCACCCATCAGGTTGACCAAGCGCTTCGAGATGGACAACCCGAGCCCAGTTCCACCAAATCTCCGCGTTGTCGAGCCATCCGCTTGCTGGAAAGTGTCGAAGATGAGATCCAGCTTGTCCTCCTCAATACCAATTCCTGTATCAGAAACTGAGAACTCGAAAGCATACTCGTCGGCTGC